GCTGCTGCTGCTGCTGCTGCTGCTGCTGCTGCCTCCCCAGGAGCATCTTTGCACGCCGCTCAAGCCAAGGCCATGCCAGGCAAAGCCGGAGCCTGCTGCCGAAGGGTCAGGAGCGGCGCAAAGGCAGCAGGAGCGGCCTCTCGCTTCGCCTCCGCCAGACGGAATGGAGCGGAGGAGCAGCCACTGCGGCTGGGGAGCGGGCGGAGGCGAGGCTGCGGCTCAAAGCCCCCTCCCGCGCGGGGCAGCCCTGGGCCACCGCCGAGCCGAGGAGACAGAAAGCCGGCGAGGCGAACCAACCACGGGGCCGCTCATTCATTCCTCCCCCACCCCGCCGCGGAGTCCCCGCCCTCTCGTGGGGAAGGTTCAACGAGAGGTCTGGCGATCCTGGGGAGAACCACTTTTTCAGGACGGGCACAAGTGGGGGTGATTGTGTCTGCCTCCCTGCAAAGTCCCCTCCCACCTCCCTCCGGTGAAGTCAGACTGCAATTTAAGAAATAGGCGCCATAAACCCTGTTCCTCACAGGGTTGCAGAGGTAAAAGCTGCTTCGTCAAGTGGTGCTCGGCTCCTGTGACTACCTAGACGCATCCAGGCAGGTGTTTTGAGGGTTTTTTTTGCAGCAGGAGCAGCAGCAGCAAAGGAGAGCTTTCCCCTCTTTTGGGATGTTTTCAGCTTCCCAGTCCAGCCTGGAATTCCGTAGGGGTTTCACCTCCACATACTATCCAGGTGTATCCTGCTCAGCTTCTGAACCCAGAAAAGGTGGCTCTAGTCCTGCCAACAGCTGAAATATGTGGTCCACACATTCTGTTTCAATCTTTCCTGGGAGGAGGGGAGTAGCTGAATTCACAGTCAACGCAACAAAGTCTCATGGCATCATTTCTTGCCCAGCTCAAATGAGAGAACAGTGGATTTTACGTAGGATCTCCCTTCTCTTCAAAGGAGTCAGCTGGAAGTATGTCAGCCAAGCACCGATTGATTTAATGGGAATTCTGCTGTAGCATGTAACACCTTCCCATAAGCAAATAGTGAACACCAAGAATGCTCCCTGATTGTACTGAGCACACTAAAAAAACCAAAACCCAGTGGGTGTTTGAATCTGGATTTCCAATTCCAAGCTCAGCTTATCTGCTGCCATGCATCCTTTTCGCCTTCCTCAAGGTGGCTATCCTTGAAAAGAATTAGCTAAGACTTTTTTTCATCACAAAATGGTTGAGTTAGAAATCAAGAGGCTTAATATTATTTCCTAGGGATAAAACAGACACCAAAGAGATTTATTACACTGCATTGGTTTATCAGCAGCTGATTGCCAAAATGACTGGGTTTTTGTAGGGGAGTGCAGATTGGCCATCATCTGATTCAAAATGTTGCTTCAATTTAGACCAACCTAGTGATCTGGTTCAAAGTGGGGCTTTGATTAGAAAAAGGGAGTTGCTCCATTTTGAAACAGTGAGGTGGGGCTCTGCACTTTGATTGATGTCAGACATTAGTCTAGAAAAAAAGTCTTTGGTGCATGTGTTCATGTGCACAGAAGGCCCTTTTATCATCTTGACTGAACGAGCAAGCCTTCTCAAATCTTCAGCATTGATCCACGACACCACTTCGATTTAGCACTTGGTTTCCAAGACATGCTTCATTAAACTGCCTTAATATTTGGTGAATGGCTACTATCAAGAAGGATTCTACCTTTATTTCAGGTTTCCCTGACTTCTCCTTTTACTATTTCTCTTCTCCTACCCTATTATGGATGTGTTTGTGTTCCTCTCTCAGAGTAATACTCCAACTGTTGCAATGGATGGCAGCCTGTGGAGCTTATGTTGTTGTTAGCCCTTCAAGTGCCAGAATGTTCTTTGTCATTTTTTTCCTCAAGTACAGCTCCATTCAAATCAAAAAACGAATGTACTATATTTTAGGATTTAAGTCTGGATGTTGCTTCTCTCAGAGACAAGCAACAGTCTTTGAGGAGAAGTTAGAAACTTTACAAAAAAAAATTAGTTTGTGTGTATCTTCTCCTGACATTCAAACAAGGAATTCCACACCCCATTTTGAGAGATTATACATGCAATCCTTTCTGCAGCAATATAGCAAGGCAGGAATAAAATCCCCTTCTTGAAGAAAGCCAAAAGACAGCACAACCTTTTGAAATACATTGCAATGGATTCAGCTTTAATCTTGCTTAGAGCAGACCCATTGAAATCAGTGGGACAAGAAAATCGTGACTATTTGATGTCTTATACATTTCAGTGGGTTTGCTGTAAGCATGACTATCAACTCACTAGGCAGATACCATTGTCTGGAATTTATTGTGTTTGTATGTGACCCAAAAATGTACTAAGGATCTTCATATCCAAAGTTTACTTTTCTACTACACAAACTTAAAGTTATCCAAACCAGGTTCTAGTGGACTGTAGATGTGATTTTATGATGCTATATATAGTCACCCTCTGGAGGAGGTGGGTGGCATATAAATTTAATAAATGAATTAAATAAATAAATAAATAAATATTCCTACCTTTATGTTTGTATCTTACTGGGCTGAGAGCAAAGGATATCTTCCTTAAGTTTTATTTCAAGTTAAATAGCATACAGTTTTGTTCAAACATCAATCCTAGCATTCTTATTCACCAGCCAACTGGAGCAATTAATGCAATGGTTTCATAATGGCAAAATCAACGTGAGTTAACCTCAAAACAAAGGGATGGTCTTTAATATGATGAGCTGGTCTTGTGAATCTAATAAATTTGCACCCTGGGTACCCAGTGGCCTTATTCAACAATTCTTAACCACGTGGTGAATGCCCAAGAATCTGGTTCATGGGCACAAGGGTGAATTGAGCAATTTCCCTACTTGGAAATCATTTTTGTAAAGGAAGTCACCTTTTGTATAAAAAGTGGGATAATTTATTTAGTGAAGATGTATAGCTAAATGTGTGGATTGTCTTGATTTAAGAAAACAAGATTAATCTGAGATAGCATGAAAGCTTTGTGGGTGGGGGAAATCACTTGTTAGCTCCTATCTTTAAATTATCAGTTGATGTTGCAGTTACTGAGTGAGGACTTTTCCTAAACAAAGAGTTTATTTAATTGGCCTATACCACTACGGTAATTTTTCTTCAACCCAAATAAGCCTACTTTATGCTGAAATCAGTTCATTCAGCTTCACTCCACGGTGTTTGTTAGTTCTGAAACATTGATTTGGCAGCTGAAACAACCCCCTTTTCTTACACCATCTCCTAGAGGGGAAGAAGGGAGGGAGGAAAGGAGGAAGTTTATTACTTTTCCACAAAAGGAACATGTCTAGGCTAAATAAATCCAGCAGAAAAAGTGATTACAGGATGTTTCAGCAGCTTTAATCTCAGGGAGTTTTCATTTAAAATACAGTAAAAGCTTGTGGAAGCAGAGAGGAAAGAGCAGGAGTAGTGATCTATGAGATTCATCTGTTTTTCATTGCTGCACTTTTCTAGATAAGCCAGTAGTTTCTGGGGTGAGTATTTTGCAAGTCGGTTGAAATGAAGTACTAATATAAAGCTCATATAAGAGTTGAGTCAATGGATCAAACTCCATTCTTGTTTAGCAGTTCAATCTTTAAAACAAGGTTTCATTTTGGGAATTATAGCCAGTGCAAGGATGGTTTAACTCAGGGAAGCATGCATAAAGGATGATTTTATAATGTTTTATAAAGCATAAAGCAGAGCCTATATTACTGGCTGGGTTCACATAAAAACATGAGAATAGACCAGCTGGATCAGGCCAAGGATCATCTTAGCTTGGCGTTTTGTTTCTTGCAGTGGTCAACTAGATGTTTCTGGGATGAGGCTCCTCCATCTGTGCCATTGTTCTCCACCTGTTCTTTGGAGCCATAAATTTCCAAGGTTAGTAGTCTGTGATGGGCCCACCCTCCATCAATTTCTCCTGTCCCCCCTTACAACCATCCAAGTTAATGGCTATCCATATAGCTTGTAGTAATGACTTCCACAATTACACACTGTGTGAAGAAGTGGTGCAAGCGTTTCTCTAAACTATAATGCACTTTCCGTGATGCTGGCTTAGGAAGTCGTCTGAATTCAGCTGTTGTGATCTGTAAACAAGGAGTTACAGTTAGTGTTATGTGTGAACCCAGCCATTTGTGCCTTATCCAACAAACCATGAATTAAGCAAATCAAGCTCAGAGGGTGGCATGAATCCTGGCCAAATGAGTCATTCACCAAAGCAATCATAACTCATTAACAATGTAAGTTAGTTTGCAAGCCTGTGAAGCTGAAACAAGAGGGGTATTGAGTAGAACCAAACCTATGGCTGGCAGTTGATTTCAAGAATAACAAATCATAGAAGAAATTCCAAACAGGGAAATTCCAAACAGACATTCCAAGAGGAAATAATATGTTCTTGCCTCCAGTGCATTTATCGTTCTATGGAAATCTTTGCTGCTAAAGGCATGCAGGGATAAAAGAACTAATTGCCATTGCCTGCCATAATGGAAAAAGTCACTCTGCTTGCTATTTTTTTGAAGTGTTTTTTTAATTCATGTACAGTATGTGTGGGGTATTATGAAGCTGGCACCATCAAAACTAATCTGAGATCCTTGGTGACAAGAAAGTACTCCTTGATAGCTTAATTTTTAGTAGGGTTCCGTATCCAGAAACTCTGACTCTTTGAGTTTCTTCTTGCTATTCTTAATGTGGAGCCTATTATGATCCAAGAGATGACTAAACTTTTGAGCTAATCTCCGTCTGCCATCACTAAAGCTGTTATTCCTTTATTCCTTTACCTGGCTCTTAAAAATATAACATTTAAAATATGGCCAGATGTGACTAAATCCAGAAGCAATAATTGTTGCAAATTGCTCTGTAGGCTGATATGAGGAAAAGTGCTGAGTGATCTACATTCAAATCAAATCAAATAAGAAATTGTCCTTTTCAAATTCAGGGAAGCCTTTCCTCTTTTACTTTCAGTCCAGGGTCAACTTCGTACATGTTGTTCCCTGAGGCAGAG